CTGGAGTTTGCATTCTGTGCCCCACCCTACCTCCAATAGCTTATATCAATTAAACAGCAGCTTAAGGATCTTCTCATTGAGCAATTGTACTCTTTCATGCTAGTTCCTTTTGCCAATAACCCTACGGAGCCATCACTCCCATCTATACAGTTGCTGGATATATGCAGTAATTTGAATGAACATGTTTTTAATCCATAGGAAAGGCATGTTACCCACCTTATGTGCCTTTAAACTTTCAAAGGCTGAGCAAAACATTCCACCTGTGTAATAATCCCAGCTAACGTCAATAGCTGTTATATGAGGCGAATGCTACAACACTTGACAAATCCCAAATCCTCCCGAAGCTGCAATTCACCTGTCACGGGGGTGCTCAATGGACAGTCCCCAGTGATCACTGGAGTTGTTCAAAGGAGTTATCAACACAGAAACACCTTAATCACAGGCTTTGCAGATACTTATCCATTTCACACTTGTCTTTTCTTTGTCATTATTTCTGTTTTGTTTTTTGATTTCTTTAACAGATAAAAACCTACCATGTCATATCAAGCAGATCTTCACACATCCACATTTGGAACTGAATCCTGAGTTTAACTCACAGATCAAAGATTATTATGCTGAAGTCCCATTTGATATGGTAACAGTGATGATCAGAGTGGAGACTTCTCCGTGTCAGTGCAAAGTGCACCTGCATGAGCAAGCGGGGCCAAGGTATGGGGTGCGGACGGGAGCACCTTGGGGAGCAGACAGGTGATGCAGACTTTGTAACAAGAAAGACTCTTGTTCTCAAATAATTGAGAGTGTTCAGCAAGGACAAATTTTGCTTATTGTTGTCTTCATGTTTTCAGATTACTGAATAGTTAAAGTTTTTGAAATTCAAAAGTTGATTGTTCAAACAAGTTGGTGACAATTTGTGGACATAATACTACTAACTTTACTAGTCTCTGGGATTTTTTTTTTTTCTGTTGATTCTTTTGAAGTTAACCAGATTTGTTTGGTTCCTTTTGTTTGTAATTTTGAATAGAAAATAGGACCTTATTACATAGCTAAGAGGATACTCATGGTGCTGTGGAGAAGGAAAGGCACTTGGCCTGCCTGGGAGGCAGGAGAATATAGTAGAAAAAACAGGAAAATCGAGGTAGACCAACCTGGGTTCCAACCGTGATTTTTCTATATGACTTTGAGCAATGTGTTCACCAGTTCTATGTCATAATCTCTAATATTTAAAACAGGGACTAACATAGATGCATGTTAATTGAAATAATATGCAGTCTGGATAACAAATGGTTAATAAGTATTAGTTTTCTTCCTTTTATTTAATAGAGGACATACCTTGCTCTGCAAGATGACTCTTGATTTGCAGAGTACTAGGAAACAGGGGTTTATTTTTTTCATATTTTAAGTTTCTTATGAAATTATTTAGACCTTGCTTGTTTTTATGCAATAGTAGACATTTAATGCATATTCAGGTATGAATCAGCTTGGGCTGAAAAGATTTCCCCTATTTTTTCCTTTCTTCCACTCTTTCTCTGTCTCTCTCTTCTCTCTTAATCTCTTTCTCTCTGCTTTTCTTCCCAGCTTTGCCGACTACCCTCTAGGCTTAGGAATGAACACAATCTCAATATTTGTGGTAGATGAATCTCCAGCCCAGAGCGAGACCCTGATCACTTACAAACTCACCATCTATAGAGAAGACCGGCCAAGTCTGCCCCTGTTTGAGGACTTCACAGCTTGTGGTTTTGTGCAGGTAAGTTGATTTTACACTTGCACTTGGGCTGAACTGGGAGTAATCTGTTAACCCAGGTGAAAAGCCCCCAATAGAAATTATTACAAGAAATCGTGTGCTTTTAAATTGTGTGCTTTTAAACTGTGGTCTTATTTCAAAAGAGCAAGCGTCCCAGCCAGACATCAACACACCACCCCGTGAGTGGTTTTCTTTTCAGTATGGCGGCTCCTCCCTGCACTCATTGTATTCAGTGGATTTATTGTGGTTAATATTTGAAAAACTGTCTGAGCACTCACACTTAGTTGTAAAATCGGTTTCACATTTCCTTTTTAAATTGTGCTGTTTTTCTTGGATTTGTCCCTGGATCCACTTTTGAAATTTTAAACTAGATTTAGTAGAGTTTATTTAATGGAATGAAAAGATAATTTATGGAACTATTTTACAGAAGGGATACCTGATAAATGAAACTACATTGGTTTGGGATAGACGTATCTGTCCTTCGCTTTTCATACTGTAATCATTCTGCAAGGCCGTAGTTTCTCTTGTGGGCGACACACACCATTTTGTTGCCTTGTTGATTTTGGAGAAGAGTGAATGTTACACTGAGACTTTGTCTTGTTGGGGCGTTCTCTCCTGGTTTTCCATTTTGTAAGGATCATATTGGAACCTTCTACATTCTTCATATCGTAGACCCTCATTATGGGGCGTTCAGGGGAGGCAGTAATTGGCATTCTTATCACATGTCTACTAATCCACTCACCAAGTATACCTGCAAAGATGTCATCTCAAATGATATGCTACTGGGGGCTTGAAAGCAGAGGGTTAGTAGATGAGAGGTATTACCAAGTGGGTTTGGTGGGTATTATGGATATGATGATTGTTATACATTTAATGACCAGACGCCATATTCCTCCCAGCACACTCTCTATTCCCAGGAGCTTAATACTATATACTATTTCATAAGCATACCCATCCCTAAGATTTTTATTTTTCAAGGAAAACACATATCTCAATTATGAGATACATATCTCAATTCTCTTTATGAATATCAATAAATCAAAGGAAATTTCGCATTTGTCTAAAGATCAGTTCAAAGCAAGAAAAAAATTATTCTGAAAGATATTAAGATATACTTAAAATAGAGTGTGTTTCCATGGCCAAATAGGCTTATGAAGTGATGAGTTAAACAACTTAGAGATGGTTTTTACTGTAGGATTTCTCTTAACCTGAATATACACATTTAAATGGTGATTGCTTTATAGTATTACAACTCTAGAGTGTGCTGCAATTCCAAACTTTCTTGAGGCTGTTTTAATAGAACAGCTATGAATATTCCTTTTGTGGACTGCAGCTGAGGACTGGTTATAGAGAAGGATTTACAAGATGTTCTTCACAGTTTTCCACTTTTCAATTTGCTTTATTTAGTTCATTATGTTTCAGTCTTGTTCTGAATTGAAAGACAAACTATAGAGCACACAAAAAGTGTTTGAAAGTGAAGAAAAACACGGAGGTACTTGTGATTTTGTGTATGTGTGTAGTTTGTGTGTCTATAATTATTTCCAAATTAACTGTTCTCGTTTTTTTGTGTTTTTTGGAGTAATTTGTTGGTGGACGTGTGAAATGTGTGACACTTTGGAGAACTTTCGAAGTGTCGGCTAAATCTATTCTGTGGTTCAGCTAGCATATTATATAATTCCTTCTAGCATTACACCCAAGAAAAATGAAGCATATGTGTGTCCATCAAAGACGCATACAAAAAATCTTCATATCAGTTCTATTCATGGTAGCTGAACTCTTAAAGCAATCGAAAAAGAAATGAGATAATTTCAATACGAAGGAGATATTTGAAAATAAATAAATTACTGATACACATATATATGAAAGAACCTTCAAAACCTTATGTTGATAAAAATAAGCCAGACATATAAAGGCATATTGTATTTCATTCATATGATGCTTAAGAACAGGTGAAGCTAATCTTTAGAAATCAAAATAGTGGTTACCTAGAAAGTGCTGGTAACTCTAGGCATGAGGAGACTTTGTGGACATATGTCCTATATCTTGATGTGGATGGTAGTCACATATAAAATCAGATGTTGTATAGAGATATAAAAATTTAATCAACTGTGAGCTTAAGATTTTTGCAATACTGTATACAAATTTTATAATATATAAAATATTCATGCATATTTACATAGACATAGACATAAATTATGTATTCTGCATATAAATTATGCCTCAACAAAGAGAAAAGCATTAGCAGGAAGATATATATTGTTATCTTCCATGACACGCTTCTCTTCTTTAATATACTGATCAGAAACAAGTTAATTATCCTACAATTTGCCTCAGAGAATAGAGTATGTTAGAAGTCTGCTACTGTAATATCAAGAAAAATATTAAAAAATTCTTGTGGGATGAATCCTACAGATGATTGCAGAAAAGTATGTTAGTCATTTGTGAGACTCCTTTGCAGAAGGTCTTAATTTAAAATGTATGTGTGGTCCCACAATAAGTACTATGTTTTATAACATGGAAATGCATTTAATAAGTACAAGTATTTTCTAGGAGGTGTCAAATGGGGGAACAGATAATTGTGGCATCGATAATATGAATTGCTTTAGACACTTAAGTAGGCATGAGTCGCCTCATGAACTGGGAAAAGTCAACAGCAAAAGTGGGATTTCCTCGCCATAAACTCCACTTAAAATTCTTATCTGGAGACCTTCCTCTTATTTCTCTTTTATGTTAATCTCATTAGGGTCTTTAGATATTACTGCAAGTGGATACTATGACAAAGGTTATAATACTTAGTAAGAGAAAGGGATAAAATTTCTAATCTCCTATCAATTTTGAAGCATTTGAGATTTCCAAATTATATTAATAGCTATGCAGATATACATCATGAGACTTATAAACTTTGGGGTTTCTGTTAGTCACCTTAGTCCTCTTGTTATATTCTGAGGACTGAAGTCTGCCCTACAACTATTGAGGATTAAATGATAGACTGTTCTGTCTGAGTCCCTAAAAACCTATACATAGGAACCTCAAAGGAAATGAATTAAACTACTGATATTTTACTGATTAGTTAAGGGGAAAAATTATAATTTCTCTTTATATTTTAAATTAGATTTTTGTCTAATGGACTCCATTATTAAATTTTAAATAAACATTGTCTTAATCTGTTTGCACTGCCAAAACAAAATCTATAAGCCTGAGTAATTCATGAAGAACAGGAATATATTTCTTATAGTTCTGGAGGTTGGGAAGTCCAAAATTTACGGGCTGGCATCTGCTGTCTGGTGAAGTCCTTCTTGATACAGTGTCACATGGTGAAAGGAACAAAAAGAACAAAAGGAAAAAATTCTTGGGGAAGATTTGAAGAGCAAAAAAGAGTGTAAGTTCCCTCTAGCATTTTTAGAAGGCACTAAGACATTCCGGCAGAAGCCTCATGACTTAATCATGTTCCAATACCACCACAAAGGGGATTAAGTTTCAACACATGAATTCTGGGAGACATTCAGACCATAACAAACATGAAATAAAAAGCCATCCAACTTCAAATGACCAAAGAAGGAAAATCCAATTTAAGGTTAACCAAGCCCCCTAATTTCTCCTTTCCTCATTCTCTTATCTTCTGGGTGTTCACTAATGCTTTTACCTTTTCAGCAAAAGACTTACAGGGAAAAGAAAGCAAAGATAAAGCATACCAGTCGGGCAGTGCCTGTGACTCAGTGGGTAGGACGCTGGCCCCATATACCGAGGATGGCTGATTGGAATCCGGCCCTGGCCAGATAAAACAACAGTGGCAACTGCACCAAAAAATATCTGGGCATTGTGGCAGGTACCTGTAGTCCCAGCTACTTGGGAGGCTGAGGCAAGAGAACCATTTAAGCCCAAGAGTTGGAGATTGCTGTGAGCTGTGATGCCGTGGCAGTCTACCAGGGGCACCAGAGTGAGACTCTGTCTCAAAAAAATAAAATAAAATAAAGCATACCAGTCAATTAAAAAATCAATTCTTTTGACATTTTGGTAAATAATAACAAAATTTACTTCATTTGTTGAGAGATATTTTGTATCATTTACATTATCAGATATTGTTAAGTACCTACTTAGCCGTAATGAACTACAGGGCGTGCATAAAGTTTGTGTGCAATTTAAAATAGTTATCTATTTAAAATTGTTTAAACAACTTTATAGACACCCTGTATTTTAGTTTATTTGATGCCTATATTCCAATTATTCTTATGATAATTGGAATTTTGTATGGTTGCCCCAGAGGCAACTCTTAGTTTATTTATTAACAGTGAAAGAGAAAGAACTAATTTACATAACTGATCTAAAATAACCAGATTGGGGCAAGGTATCTCAACGTCAGCACTACTGATATTTGGAACTGGATAATTTTTTGTTCTGGCGAGTTATCCTGTGTACTGAGGGATGTTTAACAGCCCTCCTGGCCTCTGTGCACCAGGTCCATGGCACAGACCACTTCCCAAGATGTGACAATGTTTCCTGGGACAAAGTTAACTCGCACTAATTTAGACAAATAAGAGTTTCTGCTTTTCTCCTGTCTTGTATGTTTACAAGAAATATGAATAATTGAGAAGTAATCTTTCAGTGTTGTATGTTGGAGAATGATTCTAATACTTTTTATTCTTGTAACTTTAATAATTTTTATAGACAGTGATGCTGACAGCTTTTTTTTTTTTTTTTTTTGAGACAGAGCCTCAAGCTGTCCCCCTGGGTAGAGTGCCATGGCATTACAGCTCACAGCAACCTCCAACTCCTGGGCTCAAGCGAGTCTCCTGCCTCCGCCTCCCAAGTAGCTGGGACCACAGGCGCCCACCACAACGCCCGGCTATTTTTTGGCTGCAGCCGTCATTGTTGTTTGGCGGGTCTGGGCTGGGGATTCGAACCCGCCACCTTAGGTGTACGTGGCTGGCGCCTTAGCCAGTTGAGCTATAGGTGCCGAGCCGACAGCTTTTTATTCTACTCATTAATCTGCCTCTTTCCTGATC